TGTTATATACATATATGTTTACACGACGTTGTATGTGTTATATGTATAGATATACCCGTCGGTCAATTATATATACATGATGTGTACTAGTTGCTAACCACGATTGGGTKGWTGAATATATGTTTAAACGTATGTGTATATGTGAATGTATATCATTTTGATCCCTCACGACGGGTATATATACTTATAACACATGCATATATCGCGGTTAGCAACCACAACATATGTATATATATATACACACACACACAAACAACACATGACATGCATACATACGATATCCACACATAAAAATGAGAAAATAGGAAAAATAGAAAAATCCATCGCTGATCCCTCGCAAATCAGCGAGGGATCAGCGAGGGAAATGACAAAAATTCACATTCCCTCGCTGATTTGCGAGGGATCAGCGAGGGATTCTGATTTTTGTAATTTCTCTCGCTGATCCTCAGCGAGGGAGTGTGTAGAAGAAAATTCCCTCGCAAATTAGCGAGGGATCAGCGAGGGAATGAGTTTTTTTGGAACTTCCCTCGTAGATCCCTCGCTTATCAGCAAGGGATCTGCGAGGGAAATTATCCCTCGCTGATTAGCGAGGGATCAACGAGGGAATGTGTTTTTTGTCACTTCTCTCGCTGATCCCTCGCTGATCCCTCGCTGATCTGCGAGGGAAAACTTTCCTCGCTGATATTCGTCGCTGATACCTGGTTTTCTAGTAGTGTAGAAGATTATATTTGTTATCGGTTTTTAAATAATATTTTTATTATAAAACAATAAACGAGTAATTTTGTGAATTGTGTAGACCGACACGGTGGAGGTTTTTAGTAATGTGACGTAAACCCTTTTTCCAAACAATTTGGGAAAGTGTTCAAATTACAATTTGTGAAGTGTTTGTTGATTAGGATTCATGCCAATAACGTATACAATTTGTCAAGTAAGTTTTCTTTTAGTTTTATTAGAAAAATGTTGGGGTATATTTTTAACGGCATGACAATGTAAGCAATATAAGTGTTTGATCTCCTTAAATGTCTAGGGTTTTCACATCACCTAATTTTCAGTCTCTTCTCTGTCTTTACTTATCTCCAGGTTACTTTATCCCGTGTTGACTTTTTTGCTTTCAAATACACTTTACATTGTCGTTAATTGATTAAGGTTTAGCCATCCGCATTCCAGACCGGTGATGTCACATTTGTGTAAAGATTTATCATAAATAAAAAACGATGTCAATAAATTTCCAAGACAAATGCCCTTTTATATATAAAAGATGTTTAATAGTTATAGAAGTAAAACATGATCTACTTGAATAATTAAACTTGACAAAAATAAATATTCCATGTTATGCTAAGCCATCGTTAAGAAGTTTCTATTAAGACGAATGGATTAGAACAAACTCATTCATTCATATCTTTAAGAATATCTCATACAATACTAATTCATCACCTTTTTTGTCACTTGGATGAGAATGTTGCATTGTGTCGATATTCTTCTCTTAAAAGGTAACTTCTCTTTTTGTGTTGCCAACTTTAACGAATAAAATGACATACAAATTACGACTATAATAATACATGGCTGCAAATGATGGAACGTTCGTCAAACAAGGTTCACAACCGAATGTGAATCAGACGCGGAGGAATATTTTTTTTTCTTTTTTAATGAAAGATAATTATATTTGTAAGAATTATAATAACAAGGTCACAAATTTAATTAAGAACTTAAATAATCACTAAAATAACCTCTTATTTATAATGATAGGTGTAGTTGTAGAAGTGGTAGACCAATTGTAATATACAAACGTCTAATATCACGCTTTAGCGAGACTCTCTAGAGGGCTTTTTCGAACAATTCCATCTTAAAAAATGGTGGCAGGTTATAGACGAAAACCTTATTGGATGAGCACTGAGAATTCTCGTCGTCGATGGATGCAATGATGGGTACAACAAGGAGGTATTAAGGGTACGATTTTGTACATTAACGATCTTTTTCTTGTTTTCTTAAATAGTTAGTGTTCTCATTTGAACTTGTCTCTATAAATAATAGGGTTTTTATGGTTTGTAATATAAATATCTCAATGTTATGAATGTCTCTATCCTTTGATCAATCCTAATTGCAGAGAACCACTAGAACCACTTGATCGATCCCTTCTAAATCGAAATTCATGGGTTGTTTTGGTGTGTACATATATATATATATATATATACACACACACACAGAGAAACACACATATATATGTATACGAAGGATCGTGTGAGAATAAAAATTAAGTTGAGAAGCATAAAAAGGGTTCTGAATCCTTAATCACATTTAATTTCAAACTCACCGATGAACTGCGCTTTAGAAGGGAATTGATATGTTGCTGCATCTTGGTGCACCTCATAGTGTTGATATTCAATTACGATTGATCCAAAAGTAGAGATCTTTTCTTATGCTTCCCACCATAACTTCCCTTCTCACTGGAACTCAACTATATATATATATATATATATATTAGAGAGAGACATGGTTCAACCAAAAACAGTGAACAAATAAGAGAACACAAGAATGGAGAACGACTAATTTACATGTGATTTTACCCTAAAATCATGGGTAAAATTAGATGTGATTCGGGAGACTTTGGCTAGGTAGTCCACCTTGTGTTGACCGTATTCCGTATCACATGTGATTTTAGTGCAAAATCACATGTGATTTGACCGTTTTTTGCAATTTTTTTTTTTTAATTTTTGTTCGAAACTCTATGAACCAATATAGACCACACATATTTATCAAAACAGGTCAATACCGATCAATCTATTTGTTATTTCATTAGTGAAACGACATTATTACATCAGTAAACCGAATCAATACAAATCAGCCTGTATATTGTTTCATTGTTGTTTCAAAAGCAAAAAAAAAAAGGTTTTAAAAAAAATAATTGATAAGATAGAAATATTATTATAATTAAAAAAATTAAATATACGGTTAACAGTGATTCATACCGGTTCCTAAAGATCCCTATAAAAGGAGAACAAGCCATGCTTCATATTACAAATTAAAATCAAAACTCGAAATTTACAAAATGTCAAGCAAGAGTTTCTTCAATTTCAAATATGGCGTTTCAAGAAAATCATCTTCCCCTAAAACCCCACCACCGCCACCAACTCAATCACTCCAGCCACCAAAATTTAGTTCGGCGGCAGCTTTCCATCCGAACGCCGACGAGATGAGACGGGTGTTCAATAAATTTGACAAGAACAGGGACGGCAAGATTTCCAAGGAGGAGTACGGTTCAGCCGTCGGTCTACTTGGTGGAAAGAAAGCTAAATCGGAAGTGACCAAGGCGTTTCAGGTCATAGACGTCGACGGAGACGGGTTCATTGACTTTGACGAGTTTATGGAGGCGCAGACGGCAGACGGCGGAGTTAAAACGGGAGATATCAAGAGTGCGTTTCAGGTGTTTGATTTGGATGGAAACGGGAAAATCAGCGCAGAAGAATTGATGCAGGTACTGAGGCAGCTAGGGGAGAGGTGTAGCTTGGAGGCTTGCCGGAAAATGGTTAAGGGGGTGGATGCCGACGGCGATGGGATGATTGACGTCGATGAGTTCATGGGTCTAATGACCCGCACCATGAAACTGCGGTGAAATTACAAATTTTACGGTTACCAATCACATGCAGGGAATATTATTAGAATAAAATATTTGATGTGCTTTTATAGGTGTTAAAAGGCTTGCTCAATAGATGTCATTTCATGTTTATGTCACATTGGATATCTAAATTTGATTTTTCTTCTTATTTATTAATTTATAATATATAACCCAATTTAAATTATTTAATATATTTACTCATCGAGTAATAATTAAAATATATGTTTATATATATATATATATATATATATATATAGTAATTTATATGATATAAAGATCTGTCGCCATAACTCAGGGGTTGTTTGGCAGTTGCTGAATGATTTAATGCAGAATAGTTAAGTGGTCAGATGGTTAAGAGGACCAGAATGGTTAAGTACTGAATGAAACAAGGTTGTTTGGTAATTGTTATCTGAATAACAATAAATTACCATTTTAATCCTCTGTATGATTTAGTGGCACAACTCCAATACATCATAGTTCCTCAGATTTTGCATGTTATACATGCTAAGCTTTTGGAGATTAAACTGTAAATGGCGATGGTTTTACCTAATTGTTTAAATGCATGAACATACCAAGATAAAATGCTTATCAACAAACTTCAATCACTACTTTTAAAATAATGTGACAATGATACTCTAGTTATAGGATTGACATAGAACATGCAAAGTTACATCACAAGAAGAAGGACGACATGTAGCGATTACAGAAACTTAACCCTAAAAGAACAATCATTGATTATACTAAAAGATTACCTGATATTGAACCATAACAAACTGGGTAGTGAAATTAAGTAAAGAAGTGTTGGTTTGGGGGAAATTTTGAGCAAATAAACTGATGGAAAATGGAAAATTTTGGGTATTTGTCTATTTGAAATGGGTGCTAAAAATTTTAGAGAGAAAAACTTACCAGCAGCAAGAGAGACGAGACAACAGAGAGACGAGACAGAGGGAGACGGCACAGCAACAACGGGGCTGTGGAAGGCGGAAGGGGGAACGAGGGTGGGAGGAACGATCGACACAGCAGTCCCCTAATGGCAAGTGACACAACAACAACTAATGGCAGGCGACATCGATTGGAAGGAGGAAGGAGGAACAACGTGCGAGGCGTGGGAGGAGCAGGCGGCTATTGAAGTTTGAGAGGGCAAAGATGGAAGAAGACCCCTCTGAATCATTGAGGAGCGACCTAAACACCAAATCATTAAGAGGCCTCCGTAATCATTAAGAAGTTTTTTTTTTTTTTTTTTTT